AAGCTTGGCAAGAGCAGGGAGAAGAAGTAAGAAATAGATCCAATAGAGAAGCATGTTCCTCGGTTTGGCTATGGAAACGAGCGGAGAAGTTCACAATTTGAATGAGCAAAGGAAACATTTAATGTCTGTATACCGGCAACATCAGTACCTTTAGAATATTTCAGCCACGTGTCGTGGTGAGCATTAAAGTCACCGAAGACAAAGATGTTCACAGATGGGTGGTGAGAAAGTGCCTTTTCTATACTGTCAGCTATTGCGTCAAAAGTTTCATTTCAATTCCTCTCGAGTAGCGATGAAGTACTCGCCTGTGTAAAATTTCTCGCCAATTGCAATATAGGCCTCTAACCAGCACTCGGTATTTCAAATAATTTTCTCTTAAAAATCCAAGAAAGCTAAGTATTTCAAACTATCTCTCTTCGTCTATGTTGTAATGTAGGGTAGGTTACCGAGTAGAATAATCACACGAAAGTTGATAATGAACGATAATACATAGGACAAGAACAACACATATAAGAGTCAACTGCTAGAAGTGAGTCAAGTGAATTCCACAATGAATTTCCAACTGCAGGATATCTACCAACCACCTCACGCAGTCAGATGTGGCACAAGGTCGAATTTAATGTGGTGTATCCGAGCCCCTAGGCTCGGAAAAAATTCCTGTGGACACCGTAGAAACACGGGATCGGGTAGCTGTTTCCTGAGACGATACTCTGCACTTTGGCATAGCTTCGTCTGGGAATCCTCTCTGCCCGGAAGCAGAGAGTTTGACCAGCACAACCGGAGACTAATCCCCGACTGTAGACTAACATACAGTATTTATGTGAATGTGGACATACCCATTATCGTTCGTAGGTATGGTACAGCAGTTTACTTTTGAACGTATGCAAACCACATATTGGCGAGAAATTTTATACAGGTGAGTACTTCAATGCTGCTTGCAAGGAACTGTAATGAAACCTTTGATGCAATAGCTGACAGGCACTTTCTCAACATCCATCTACGAACGTCTTTATCTTCCCTTCGGTGTGCAACGAAATTTTTTACCTTTGTCTTAAACATTTCTGAATATGATTTTTTGCCAGATGATTTTAATCTGTTTTATGAACATTTCCTCTTCATGACAATTCGTTAAAATTACGGACTTTAAAAATCCTTATTTATTTTCCTGAAACGAGTTACTGACATTACTTTAAGTGTTTAAATTCGTGAATAAATTCTTTATGTTGTATTGTTAAAATTACCCGCGTGTTTTCCTCGTCGTTATCATCTTTCATTAATCTTTTTTGGGCGTGGGTAAATCAACCCCTAAGCCCCACGCGCCACTATAGGCATTAAGGTAGTACTCGTTTGGATTTCATGGGATTTATTTTCGCCCCCAGCTTAGTGGCCTTCGGGTAGCACAGTAATGCCTGCCGTCACTTCCGTGTTATATCTTTTTCGTTGCAACTTGGTAGGCGTAAGGAAATCTAATCTCGTCTTCTTCACTTCAACGCGGCACACTGAAAAAGAGATCGACTTCCTAAAGTTGGCGGGAATTCCGGATTGTCACGTGATTACTAGAAGTGCATTGATTGATCAATGCTAGCCAATCAGCGACTCTTTTTCCATGTCATTTTTGGTTGCGACGGAAACCCCAACGTGATTCTTGTCGGTTCATTGGGGATTGGGGGGGTAACACCCTTCGCAATCTCTTAGGGGATTAAAAGAAGGGGGAACGTTTATTTGTTTATTTTTTTTTTAAATATTTGTCGACCACTTTCAAAAGCATATGAATACCACTCTGTTTACATTATTCGGACTATTGTCCTCATCTTTGTCGCCATATTACAACGTTGTACGCTCCGGCCTTCGTCAGGTGGTTGGAATGTTGAACTTAACCGTTTATTTCACTCACTGGGGTAGACTGTTCTAGTTCCACGTGCCATGTTTAATGGATGTCAGTTATCTCCTGTTAATTCCCGTCTTCAAGTTCTCGACTGCCTTAACTGGGTATTGAACTCACACTCTTTGTGGTCCTTTCACGGGATCTAACTAACGCCTTTATCCACTGTGCCATGTGTCCTTGAGGCAGTGAAGAACTTGGAGAGGTGAATTAACAGGAGATAACTGACATCCATTAAACATGGCATGTGGAACTGGAACAGTCTACCCCAGTGAGCGAAATAAAGGGTTCAGTTCGACATTCCAACCACCTGAAGAAGGCCGAAACGTTGTGATAAATATGGCGACAAAGATGAGGACAATAGTCCGAATAATGTAAACAGTGTACATAATCTCAGAAATATAGACAGATACTGAGGAAGCCCGAAGCGTACGACAGCCGAAACGTTGTAATAAATATGGCGACAAAGATGAGGACAATCGTCCGAATAATGTAAATAGCGCACATAATACTTCATCTCAGAAATATAGACAGATACCACTCTGTTTATTAAGGCTACACTTTTTTTTATCCTTTAAACGATATCCTACCCCTTCTTTTATTGACTCCCTGCCGTTTACTGCATATTAAGAAAAATATTCGACCTCCCCACCTATTAATCCTCCTCCTTGTATCAGGCACCTAAGAATATAGTCTATATTTTTTTCTTTCACCTCAGCGTTTTTTCTGCAACGTTCATGTTCATCTATTCCCTTCGTATTCCATTGGTGAGATGTAAGTTCCACTTGAGCAGCTTCTTCCCACGAACTGTTGCTTTGTGGAACGGACTCCCAAGAGAGTGCTTTCCCGCTCACTAAAACCTTAACCTGTTCAAGTCTAGTGTTAACAGTTACCTTTTTCACATATCCGCATAAACCGTATCTATTACTCTATAACAATCTACCTCGAGTGGCTACCAGGCCTTCTATAGGGTGAACATCACTATAAAAATATTTTATTTCTATCCTCTATTGAAAGATTGGCACAAAACAATCTTTTTACTCATTCTGTATTTCCTTCCACTCAATCCTACTGACTGAGCTACCCTTAATAAATATTTATATAAATGTGTATACAGACATTTCCAGCGATAAGCCGTTTTTCAATTTCTTTCACCAGGATCTAGCTAACACATTCGCCCTAAAAGTCGGCCATTCGCCCATGCAACGAATATTGCTGTTACATATGGTTTGGTACTTCTGCTATGTATTTAGAGATTCTTGATAAAATCCAAAGAAGAATCTGCAATGCTATCTGTCCAGACCTGGCATCTCGGCTTAAGTCATTTTCTCGCCGACGTAACATAGCTACCGTGTACCTTTTCTGTAGGTATTCCTATGGTAATTGTTCTGGTGAGCTTAACTCTTTGGTACCTACACTTTACAAATATAAGATCAGTACTGGATTGTCGGTAATTATTTTACTAATGAAATGTCCAGATGTAACCGTAAGTTCTATGCTAACAGTTTCTTCTCTTTCATTTCTCCCTTGTGGAATTTTTTTCCGGTTTTTTGCTTTCCAGTCAACTTTGATCTTCAAGAATGTAAATGCAATGTCAGTCGTTATCTACTGTCCATTTATTGTTCTCTCTCCTTAATAATATTTGTCTACTATATAATAAATGTGAATGTCAGTGTGTCACTATGTCAGACTTTTTCAAATAATGGGACACAACTCTCTAATTTTCAATAGCTCATCTTCTTCTATATAATATATGTGAATGTCAGTGTGTCACTATGTTAGATTTTTCAATTAATGGGACACAACTCTCTAATTTTCAATAACCCATCTTCTTCTATATAATAAATGTGAATGTCAGTGTGTCACTATGTCAGACTTTTTCAATTAATGGGACTTAACTCTCTAATTTTCAATAGCTCATCTTCTTCTATATAATAAATGTTAATGTCAGTGTATCACTGTGTCACACTTTTTCAACTTATTCCTCGAGGTATAGCCCAATATATTGTGCCTCTTTGGAATCAGGCCGACTCCGACGAAAAATAAATTTGGGACTAACCGAAAATTAATTGTGATATCCAGCGAAAGTCACCCATTAAATAAAAATAATTGTTTGTATGGAAAGTAAGGACCTACAAGGCAAATGTTCAGATGAGTTCCCTTCTTTTGTTCCACCAGTTCAAACATTTACAGCTAGGATATTTACACAATATTTTGAGGAAGATGTATTCTCCAATCCGCAGCCTCTTTCCCACAAACCCAACGTTGCAAGCCTACAGCCACTCTATCGCTATTTCCATGGCAATTGTTCAGAGACGAGCCATTTTTAAGGGCCACCAGTTCAGACCTTCACAGCCAATACACGCCATGCTACACCAACAGGGTTAAATCACTCTAATTCCATGTGTATTTCTTTAGTTAAAAAAAAAGCAGTTCCTCTCGGGCGAGCAGTAGCTGAACGATATCCCTAGACATGACCTGTGGAACGAGAACAGTCCCTCCCACCACTCAACGATTAAATAAATGGTTCAGTTCAGAATTCCCTGTAGTTTACCCAGATCGATATACACCCGAGGAAGGCCGGAGGGCACAACAGCCGAAACGTAGTGATAAAAACAATAAAGATGAGGACAATAGTCGAAATATAAATCGTGTAAATACTAGTAGATTAAAGGTTCAGTTCTCTTTTCCCTGTAGGTTACCCAGATCAATATACACCTGAGGAAGGCAGTGGGGGACAACGTCCGAAACGTTATGATAACTTCTCATCCCAGAAATTCAGACAAAATCTATAATCTTAATCTCAAGTCCAGGAGCGATCGTTATCTATCCTCCATATCCTCGTAATCATCACTTCCGGCTTCTTCATCTTACTTTTATATCGGACACCGCATTTAGTAAACCTCTACTTTGAGTGGGTCTTGAGCCTTTTGGCGCGGGGGGTGAACTTTGGTAACAGCAACAAACAAAAGAATTTGGATGCAACGTCGGAATCTGATTCCATACTTTATTCTTAGGTTTACTCACAATCCATTATCCTATGAATGAATATGGCCACAAGTTAGCTGGGTTTTGAAATCTGAGTTTCCCAGACTGACGAGTTCTATCTATGCGATTTACGCTAACCTGTTATTCCCAAGCGGTTACCCGTCTAAGTACTAGCCAGACCTAGCGTTGCTTAGCTTCGTAAATCGAATGAGAACCGGCGTAATCAAAGTAACATAGCCTTAAGCGTTTAATAGATAACGAGATAGAAAAAAACCATTCGACTGACTATATTGGATTTTCTCATATTTGTTTTTTCGTGACGAAGTGAATGGAAAACAGCCAGAATTGATAAAAGTACATCGAGTTGATGAAATGAAACATCTTTGTTTGGCAAATATTTAATTATCCGTAAGGCTCTTTATTCAGTGGTTTTCTCCAAATCAGGAGTTAATAGAAACATCGTTGAAGAACGAAGACAGTGAGAAAAGCCATAATTTTTTTCCGTTTATATATATATATATATATATATATATATATATATATATATATATTGTATTGAGGCAGCAGATCGTTATTCAAACATATATTGTTAAATATAACAGGCATTCATTGTCTGTTATGTCTGATCAGGAGCCGTTCTAAACACTCTACCTCATATGTAGTCCAAGAGAAGAACAGAAACCGATTCTATTTCGCACCAGCATTGCCGAAGACGACGCCAAAAATCAAGTTTTGTTACCATATCTGAATTGGAGTTGCTCAATCCGCACTTTCCAGATTTGACAGAGTTCTAAATCGTTTACACGGCTTTGTGGGGTTTGATATTTTCTACCCTGCGGCCTTTATTCCCACAGGCGCAACATTGTAAGCCCATCAGTACTCTATCGAAACTTCTATGGCAAAATATTCAGATGAGCTCCACTCATTAGCTCCACGAGTTCAGACCATTACAGCTAGCACATTTACACAGTCGTTTAGCGGAAGACTTCGTCACCAATCTGCATCCTGTTTCCCAAAGAAGTAACAGTATTAGCCCATCAATACTTTATCGCTATTTCCATGGCAAATGTTCAGATGAGTTCCCTTCTTTTGTCCCACCAGTTCAGACATTTACAGCTAGAATATTTACACAATATTTTGAGGAAGATGTATTCTCCAATCTGCAGCCCTCTTTCCCACAAGCGCAATGTTTGCTTTAATTTCGGATGAAATTAAAGACAAAAATTGTCCAACATTTGGACATTTTTTTTATTATGTTGGTCCTTGATCTAAGCTTTCGCCTTACATTCCATTGTCGTGCATAGCAATCTTCTATGTCAACATAACAGAATATCATCTTCGATGGTGAATATCTTTGTTTAAATGTCCATATAACAACTCTGAAGATGGCTCATGTGTGCCGAAAGCTTAGATCGAGGAACAGCATCATAAAAAAAATATCCAAATGTTGGACAATTTTTTCATCTGAAATTAAAGCAAACATACGAACTTTAGAACGTCTCATGATCAGACATAATAGACATTCGTTGTTATATTTAACAATATATATATATATATAAAATATTAGTGGTCAATATATAGATAGATAGATAGATTGATAGATAATATTAGTGGTCAATATATATATATATATATATATATATATATATATATATATATATATAGCACACCTTAAGACTATAATTCTTCATATATATATATATATATATATATATATTCCCAAGAGGATAGAATCCAGGTAGAACTCAATGTCCAGGACAGAGTAAGAGTAAAATATAAAAGGCTCAATCACTAATATTCAATGGTTATAATTTATTACATTGGAATCATAATCACGATCCAGATCTTCAGACCTACAAATGGCTTTTGGAATTTGTCGGTCTGATGATTTGAATCGTGATTACGATTCCAATGTAATAAATTATAACCATGGAATATTAGTGTTTGAGCCTTATATATATATATATATATATATATATATATATTAAAGGTGAAGGCTTCGTGCAAGACCATCCACACTTTTTGAAGGGCCGAATACAGAGACCTGATGCATCGAGTGCCACAAGGTGCCCAAACGATCCTCCGCAAGTTTTGAATTGAAAGTTGTTCTTCTCCTGGACCAGTTGCCATCCAAGACTATGAAACCCAGTCTGTCCTGCTATTTACCCATAGCTGGGGGAAGAGAAGATGATTCATACTTTGCCCAATGGTATTAGCATGTAAGTGAATGTAATGTATCGTTACTTGCTCTTAGTGTTCAGAAGTAAGGATTTCCTGTTTTTGATATTTCTTCTTCTTCTATGTGCCGTGTCCCTTTAGAGGCGTAGTCGATCATGACTCTCCACGATTTTCTGTCCTTTGCAGCACTTATTAAATTTTATCTTTTTGCTATCACTACCAAACACTGCTTCACTATTCATTCAAGCTCACTAGGTCAGCCGTTGTTTTCCTTTGTTCCTCTTGTCTTCAAATATTGTTTCAGTTGTATCTAGAACTTCGTCGTTCCTCACATGTTCGGTCCATGGTATTCTCAGCATAGTTATGTAGAACCACATTTCTGTTGCCTCAAATCTCTTCTTCATCTATGAGGAGATTTTCCAGCATTCACTGCCATATAGAAGGACTGATATTCCATATCAGTTCAGTACACTTTTCTTTGTTTCTATTGCTTCAAGTCTCTTTTTCATCTATGAGGAGATTTTCCAGCATTCACTGCCATATAGAATGACTGATATTCCATATCAGTTCAGTACTCATTTCTTTATTTCTAACGAATTTTTCCTCTTTCTTAATACTTTTCTTAGCTTTTGGAAGGCCACTTTCGCAATCCTTATGCGCCTTGGGAACTTTCCGCCCTCCTTTAAAACACTTTTCAGATACTTAAAATATTGTACTTATTTGATTTTGGTATCTAATTTGTAATTTGGATATTAGGCTGTTCCTTTTACTAATAACTATGCATTCTTCTTGCAACTGATGCTTAGTCCTTTCTTCTCACTTTCCTTCGCTACCTTCTGTAGGAGTTTTTTAGTTTCCTTTCCGTGTTTGCTATCAACACCATATGATCTGTATATCTCATGTTGTTAAGATTGTGGCACCCAAGCTATAATATCAGGTCATCCCTTAAGTTCTGTCCGAATTTTGAATAAAGAAAACAACTGACCAAATGTTACATTTAATTACAGATTCAATCAACAATGTATTTTTCCTGATTATCTATGACTTCCTTCCATCTATTAACAAGCTTACTAATTCCACTACTGTAAAATTCTTTTGGCTTTGATTCGAAGAACTCACGAATGTCAGTTTTAACCTCTTCCTGTCTTACAAAAGCTGTTTCTTCCAAATGATTCTGTAAGCTACGAAACTGGTAGTCTGAAGGAGCAAGATCAGGAGAATAAGGTGGATGAGGAATTTTCTCCCAACCAAGTTCTTCGATCTTTTGTGACGTGATTCCTGCTGTGTGGGATAGTGCACTGTCCTGATGAAACATAACCTCTTTTCGATTATTATTCTTTTTTCCTCAAAGCTTGGTTCAAACAATCTAATTGCTGACAGTATATTTAAGCATTAATTGTTGCATTAGGTGGTAAGAATTCAAAGTGGATTATTCCTTGGTGATCCCACCAGATTGAAAGAAGAACCTTTTTCCCAGGAAGTTCCCTTCTCGGCTGTGACTGGGGTCCTTCCCCTTTACCAAGCCACTGTCTACGACGCTTAACATTTTGATAAAAGATCTATTTTTCGTCGCCAGTCACAAGTCTATCCAAAAAAGGTGAAACAAGTTGGCGAGAATGGAGAGAAAAGCAGATGTCAACTCGGGATTTGAGGTTGTTTTCAGACAATTCATTTTCCAAGTTTAGGAACTTTTCCAAGTTGTTGAAGATGACGATGAACAGTTGTATGGTTTGAACTGAGAACCACTGCCAATTCCTCAGATGATAAAGCAGGATTTTCTTCAAGGGCTGCTTCAAGAAGCTTTTCATCAAACTCAACTGGACGTCTGGCTCGATCTTCATCTTCAAGGGTGAAATCTCCACCTCTGAATTTTGCAAACCATCTACTGCAAGTTCTTTCATTCACACATTCCTCTCCATAAATTGAGTTAATGTTTCTAGCCGCTTCGGCTGCTGAGTTTCCTTTCTTGAACTCATAAAGCATTATGTGCCTCAAATGATTCTTGGGTACTTCCATGTTAGCAGGGTTTTAATCAAACAAAATTTAATTTTATTGTTCTCTGAAATAAAATTTGATCAGTTTAAATGCATCTAAACATAAAAATGATGTTCAGCTCCATTAGACATTATAAAATACTATTTAAATTTCGTTCATTTTTAAAAAAAAAGGTAAAATTCGGACAGAACTTATGGGATGACCTGATAGAAGAAAAATCGGCCAAGTGTCTGACTAACGTTTCTCACAGGATTCAGTTAATATCAAGTTGCTCGAAAAATAATGTCTGATTTTAAAATAAACCTTCTGTGTTATATTATTTTCTTTTTATGTACCGTGTCCTTTCAGGGCGTAGGTGATCATGGCTCTCCACTTCCTCCCTATCCCTTGTAGCTCTCAATAAGTTTCGTCCCTCTGCCATCTTCAGGACATATTCATAAATATAACATTATGTACATCGTCTTTGTCATGTTGTATTGATAATGTTATATTTATGAATATGTCCTGAAGATGGTTTATTAGACCGAAACGTCAGACGTTGACATATTAACATTAAAACAGCATAATCGTATATAAGGATTTTTGCTTTGTTTTTTCCGTATATATTTTTCTTCATATATATATATATGTAAGAAAAATTTCAAGGAAAAAAATTCATTTGAATCATCGAGTTATAAACTTAAATTTATTTCACAGTTTGTTTACACTGCAACTTCAGGCTGGTTTAATTGCACCAAACACAGGAAATAAATTGATTTAAAAAAAAGAAAGACAAGAAGGAAAGAAAAGAAAAATTTTCTGGTAGCAGGAGGCAATAAATGACAGGAATGGGTAAAAATGAAGACAGGAGGGAGGGGAAGACATCTTGTTGGATGGATGGGGCATGGGGTGAGTTTTTAAAGAAACTGTTCCAAACATCTCTTCTGTCAAATGGCAGAAGAATAGGTGAACTTTTAAAAAAATATATATTAAGTGTGGCACAAGGTCGAAAGTATGTTACTTGAAAAAACGCACATCTGAATACCAATATAATTTTGAATTTTGATAGTATTGATAGTATATAAACATACACATGTATATTGCATTAATATATTAATAATATAAGTCATGGGCAATTGTATGTGACATAGTCTAGAGCTAGCAAACTCTCAGATGTAAGGTTTAAGATGATGGAGACAGACAGACAGACAAGGAAGGAGAAGAGGACAAACTGTGACGAAGAACATTATCTATGAAAATTATGAAAACCCTTGATTATATTATGTATGTGTCCTTGGTTTATATGTGTACATTATATATATATATATATATATATATATACATATATATATATATATAACATGTTGTATTAATGGGACGTGGAGTGAGTTTTTAACGAAGCTGTTCCAAACATCTCTTCTGTCAAATGCCATAAGAATAGATGACGTTTTTCAAAAAATATATTAAATGTGGCACAAGGTCGAAAGTATGTTACTTGAAAAAATGCACATTTGAATCTCAAGATTATCCACATAATCAAAGGATGTATTATATATATATATATATATATATATATATATATATATATATATAATTCAAGGATTTATTTTTAATCTGACATTTTTTTATACTTATAAAAATGCATTATAGAAAAATGCATTCCACATCAGCGATCAAAACTGTGTATCTCTTTGTAGGGAAAACCGTGGTAAGACCCTTTGTTGGGGAGATGGTGGCAGGAAATAATCTGGGTGAAGACAGTGTGCGTTCCTTAAAAAGGGAAAATACAGCCTTGCTTACTGTGACATTCTCTGTGGTCAAGTCAAAAATTACGCCGGATCAAATGATGGTTCGTCCATACTAGAGAACGCATTTTCTTTACTATGTTTTCTCGAATGTTCAGAACAGTAGGTGTAATGCACACACTGTTTAACAGATAAAAATGAGGTATGGAGTATTGCTGCTATATATGGTCTGGAGCCCCTTCTGTTTGCCTCGGGGTTCTTGATAGGCTCTAGAGGCGGATATGCAATATAATTGGCCCTGCTCTGGCATCTCGTCTACAGTCACTTTCTCACAGACGCGCCGTCGCCTCTCTCTGTCTGTTTTACAAATACTTTCATGGCAATTGCTTCGAGGAGCTGCATTCGCTGGTTCCCAGACTTCATGAGTTCAAGCGCCCTACGAGGCTGGCATCCTGCTCTCACCCCTTCGCTGTCGAAAATCCTAAATGTAGCCATTTCTTCTACTCCAATAGCTTCATATCTCACACCTCTCACCTGTGGAACTCCCTTCCCTATTCCAGTTTCCCTGAGAGCTATAATCTCCAGCTATTCAAATGTAATGTCAATAGACATCTCCAGTTGCCTTGACCTATCCACTACCTTTCTCCTCATCCTTTCTTCTATCAATCCTATCTGATCTTGCTCTAAATTTTCTGTAACCCCTTGTGTCCTAGTGGCTTCCCACCTTGCTTGGGGTGAAACGCTTAAAAAAAAAAAGTACAGAAGATCTGCTACAATAATGTCTTAAGTTATATGTCATGCCCATTGAGAATATAGGCAATCGTGGCTCTCCACAACTTCCTGTCTTTTATTGGTTTCAGCAATACTTGTATTGCAAGGACAATTAAGGGCACCGTTTGTTTTGTCATTCATTGGCTCAAGTAGATTTCTAATGTTTTAAAAAGTTTAAAAGAAGCTCCATAAATACGTACACACATATAGCGGTAAATGTGTAATATAACGATTATTAGTGTTGAAAGCAGTATTGGTAGGCTGTATTTAAATACAAAAAAAATGACTGACTAAAGTTATAGGTCAAACTGAATTCTCTAGCCTTTTTAGGTCAAGCAGAAAATGGATGCAAAAAGGAAAATTATACTTACCATCAGGAAGAGACAGTTTAAATTTCTTGTGCACATAATAAGGAAAGAGGGCTTGGAAAATCTGATACTCACAAGACAGATTGAAGGCAAGAGGGAGAAAGGAAAATAACACATAACCTACTTAGTGAGCTTGATTAAATGGATGGTAAATCAGGGTTTAGGAGAAATAGCAAAACGTCAAAATTTATGGACTTGGACAAAAGACATAAAAATACACTTCTGTCAAAAAGGAGCAGTAGCAGGAGGAGCAGTAGCTTTTGCCGAAAGCATTTAGTCATTCACAGCTAAACATTCTCTTCCCCTAGATTCTATTCTACATTATGTTTCCCTGTAGCAAAAGGTAATAAACTTGTTAAACTAATTCCGGTTTTCTAATGTTGTTTTTGATAACTCAGTTATAACATATATATATATATATATATATATATATATATATATATATATATATATATATATATGTGTGTGTGCTGTGAGGCAGAATATTTCCTGCAAGTTTGAACTCGGATTAAAGACATAAAAATATTCCTACATCAAGAGGAGTAGCAGGAGCTGCAGTAGCTTTTGCTGAAAGCATTTAGTCATACACGGCTAAACATTCTCTTCCTTAGATTCTATTCTACATTATGTTTCCCTGCACTGAAAGGTAATAAACTTGTTAAACCAATCCTGATTTTTTAGTGTTGTTTTTGATAAATCACTTACAACAAAAATGGCTCGATTTTCTCTGTGTTCACTGTGTTCACTGTGAATTTAAGTTTATAAAGTTTGTATAAAGTCAGATATTTAGTGTGATGAACGAAAGACATATAAATACTCCCACATCAGGAGGAGCAGCAGTAGCTTTTGCTGTAGGCAGTTAGTCATTCATGGCTAAACTTTCTCTTCCTTAGATTCTATTCTACATTATGTTTCACGGTACCAAAAGGTAATAAAGTTAGTAAACCAATTCCGGTTTTCTACTGTTGTTTTTGATAACTCACTTAACAACAATAGAAAATCAACAGAATTAAAACTAAGAGAATGTTTAGCCATGACTGACCGTTTTCAGCAAAAGCTACTGCTCCTCCTGCTACTCGCAGGAGTATTTTCGCAAGCAAAATCACAAACACAACACATATTGCCTGATGATTGCGTATAAGCATGAAACAGACTGTCATCACATGGTGTTGACTTCAATGTCCACTTTTATATATATATATATATATATATATATATATTGTGCATATTTAGGTAGCAATTTTTCATTAATGCATGTTTCATTAAATAATATAGACAAGTTTTGTCTATTTATTTTAAGTAAGTTCCTTTCATATTGTCTGATAAGCTTAATCACATTATCGTTGAAAGACGAAAGGAAAACACCATATTGATACATGTTTAAATCCAATGTAAGCTTTCGGCTTACATAAGCCATTATCAAAGATGACAATTTCAATAAATCAAACCACAATGAACGGAACAACAATGATAGTCCGCCCTTGCTGCATGAAAATTTCAGGTAACCGCAAACTCGTATATACGAGGCGCAGAAGCGAAAATCGCATCGCAGCTCGTGATGTCACACATGAAGACGTGAGAGTGAAAAACAAGAAGTATTAAGTATGGGAAGCCGTTGGTATGGCGTTTTCCTTTTGTCTTTCAACGATAATGTGATTAAGCTTATCAGACAATATAAAAGGAACTTACTTAAAATAGAAAAAACTTGTCTATATTATTTAATAAAACATGCATTAATATATATATATATATATATATATATATATATATATATATAGTGTATCACAAAAGTGAGTACACCCCTCACATTTCTTCAAATATTTAAGTATATCTCTTCATGGGACAGCACTGAAAAAATTACCTTTGACACAATGAAAAGTAGTCTGTCTGCAGCATATATAACAGAGTTCATTTCTTTTCCCCTCAAAATAACTCAAAATATAGCCATTAAAAGCTAAATCCCTGGCAATGAAAGTGAGTACACCCCTAAGAAACTACACCCCTAAAAATTGAGTACACCCCTAAGAAACTACACCCCAAAAGTCTAAATTGAGTACTGCTTTTCATTTTCCCTCCAAAATGTCATGTGACTCATTAGTGTAACTATGCCCATGGGTTCATGGGGAGCAGGTGTATTCAAATTTGTAGTGCAGCTCTAACACTCTCTCTTACCGGTCACTGAATGTTCCAACTCTCTGAGGATCTTAAAAAACGTATTGTTGCACTACATAAAGATGGCCAAGGCTACAAGAAGATTGCCAACACCCTGAAACTGAGCTGCAGCACAGTGGCTAAGATCATCCAGCATTTTAAAAGAGCAGGGTCCACTCAGAACTGGCCTCGAGTAGGTCGTTCAAAGAAGCTGAGCGCACGTGCTGAGCGTCACATCCAAATGCTTTCTTTGAAAGATCGGCGTAGGAGTGCTGTTAGCATTGCTGCAGAGATTAAAGAGATTGGGATTCAGTCTGTTAGTGTTCAGACCATATGCCGCACACTACATCAAATTGGTGTGCATGGCTGTCACCCCAGGAGGAAGCCTCTTTGGAAGGCAATACACAAGAAAGCCCGCAAACAGTTTGCTGAAGACATGTCAACAAAGCCCATAGATTACTGGAACCATGTCCTACGGTATGATGAGACAAAATTTAATTTGTTTGGTTCTGATGGCCTTAAGCATGTGTGGCGGCAACAAGGTGAGGAGTACAAAGATAAGTGTGTCATGCCTACAGTCAAGCATGGTGGTGGGAATGTCATGGTCTATGGCTGCATGAGTGCTGCAGGTATTGGAGAATTACATTTCATTGAGGGAAACATGAACTCCAACATGTACTGTGAAATACTGCAGCAGAGCATGATCCCCTCCCTCCAGAAACTGGGTCACAGAGCAGTGTTCCAGCATGACAATGACCCCAAACACACATCCAAGACAACCACTGCTTTACTGAAGAGGCTGAGGGTAAAGGTGATGGACTGGCCAAGCATGTCTCCAGACTTGAACCCAATAGAACATCTTTGAGCCATCCTCAAGCAGAAGGTGGAGGTACGCAGAGTCTCAAATATCCACCAGCTCTGCGACGTCATCATTGAGGAGTGGAAGAGCATTCCAGTGACTACCTGTGAAGCTCTGGTAAACTCCATGCCCAGGAGAGTAAAGGCAGTTTTGGATAATGATGGTGGCCACACAAACTTTTCCTAAGGGGTGTACTCACTTTTGTTGCCAGGGATTTAGCTTTTAATGGCTATATTTTGAGTTATATTGAGGGAAAATAAATTAACTCTGTTATATATGCTGCAGACAGGCTACTTTTCATCATGTCAAAGTGTCATTTTTTCAGTGCTGTCCCATGAAGAGATATACTTAAATATTTGAAGAAATGTGAGGGGGTGTACTCACTTTTGTGATACACTGTATATTTTTGTTTATACATTATTTTTATAGATACAAATATTTATATTTTCTTTGAGATTTCTCAGACATTCAGGCCAGTAAATGTTGTTAATACTGTTTATTATAAACAGAGCATTTACTTAAATATTTGTATCTATAAATATAACGTATAAAAAAAAAAATATTAAAATAATTGTCGGACTTAGTCCATTTCATAATATATATATATATAATATATATATATATATATAGAGAGAGAGAGAGAGAGCACTTTACCTGGATACTCAGCCTGTCAATGGTAATGAGAAGGAATGGAATAATTGTTTTTCCAAGGGCAGTCGTTTGTAAAGTGCTGGCCACAGACAGAGCTGGATTTGAACACAAATCATTTATTCTACTTTTCATACCAATGAGCATTAAAGAACTTTCACAGGATCAGAGTAAATGTTCACACTGTTTAGGATCAAAGTTATAACCCTCCAAAAATTTATCAAGAATCAGGGTGCAGCATCTGAGCACTATATGGAGAAGAATATAAGGATAGATAGGTGAACAGTGTATTTTATGTGTCTAAAGTGTATCTTCTTATAATTCTGCTTGTCTCTTCCTTAGCACGGCCGTTATGCCTTGCCAATGCCTCATAAATAATGAACTATTCAGTTTTGATCACATGGATAGACAGTATGACATGTCAGAGATCCAGCTTGTTTTCACTGAGAAAATGAAAGAAAGAAGTGATAACACGCTTATGTTATTAATGCCTGCTACAGTGAAATAGAAAATCTTGTCAATTTTAAATCTTTTCATTTGTACCCCCTTACTTCTTTAAACAATAACATGCATTCATATTTATTCTTGTTTTGTCTTTTTTTTATTGTCATAGACGTCGCCATGTGCTTATTCAATCATTCACTTTAGAATTACGATTCATCAGAAAAGTCTAATAGAAAAACCATGTTAATGATTTTTCTTTCGGATTTTCTTTCTATATTTGATTTTTTTTCTATATATCTATCTAGCAATCTATATATATATATATATATATATATATATATACTTGTTCCTTCTATCTAGAATTTTCTTTTTCCATTTTGCAATTAATTTTCCCTTCTAGATAGAAATTTCTTTTTCCTAGTTTCTTTCATTCTTGCCATTTGTTTTTCCTTCACTCCAGAACTTTCTTTTTTTCATTTTCTTTCAATTTTGATATTTATTTTTCTGACTTTTGCAAGTTTTTTTGTTGTTTTTGTGCTATTCATTTTTCCTTCATTTTTTTTTACTATTCATTTGTCCTTCAGTGTAGATATTTCATTTTTCCTTCATTTTTTATAATATTCATTTCTCCTTCAGTGTGGATATTTCATTTTTCCTTCATTTTTTTCTTCATTTTTTATAATATTCATTTGTCCTTCAGTGTGGATATTTCATTTTTCCTTCATTTTTTTCTTCATTTTTATAATATTCATTTGTCCTTCAGTGTGGATATTTCATTTTTCCCTCATTTTTTTCTTCATTTTTATAATATTCATTTGTCCTTCAGTGTGAATATTTCATTTTTCCCTCATTTTTTTCTTCATTTTTATAATATTCATTTGTCCTTCAGTGTGGATATTTCATTTTTCCCTCATTTTTTCTTCATTTTTATAATATTCATTTGTCCTTCAGTGTGGATATTTCATTTTTCTTTCATTTCTTCTTCAGTGTGGATATTTCATTTTACTCTATTTTTTTCTTCATTTTTTTTCACTATTCATTTCTTCTTCTGTGTGGATATTTCATTTTTCCTTTCTTTTTTTTACTATTTATTTCTTCTTTTATCTGGAAATTCTTTATTTCATATTTTCTATTTATTATTATTCTATGTGCAATTTTCATTCTTTTCTTCTTTCATTACTTTCTTTTTCTTTTCTGCAATCATTTTTTCTTATTTATTATTCCTTCTATATGAAAAATATTTCTACCTTTTTCCTTCATTATTTACAATTAATCTTCTTTCTTTTTGGACATTCCTTCTTTCCTGAAAACTATTTTCCCAAAAATATCCATCTGTATTTCTTTATAATTATTTACCTTTCCATTTTTTTTTGGTTCATTTTTAATATTTTGCAAGTTTATGTTTCCTTAATGTTTTCCAATTTTGTTCCTTTTTTTGTTTTTTTTTTTTCGTTTTAACATTTTTCACCTTCTTTTTCCCCTGCCAAATAGCTTACCTTTGTTTACTTGTCACATTCTTCTGGAATATTCCAAAATAATTATCCACAAATGCTGCTACTCACTTTCGATGTTGATGTCAGAATGAATAAAATGTCAGTGCCCACCTCATGGCCGTTGCTGGAAATGCAGAATGACACAACTGTTGATGCTGCAAAATAACGCTGTCAGTTCTAATTCACTCCAATACAAAACCCAAAGCTCATTGCCTGTTACGCTGCTGTCAAGTGCGAGAAAATTACTTTTATGTCCATACTGGCCATAAAAATATATTTTTTAAGGCAGATATTTCTGATTTCTTTCCCAATAACACATCAATTCTTTGATTATATTGACTGGCATTTTGCACTTCACATGACCCTAAAGTAACCGATGTGAAAGTCTTGCTTTTATAATTCTTATACTTCTTTTAATGTAGCCTACTACAATCATTTGGTCATGAATGGATTTTAAACTGACAACATGACACACCTTAATAGATTCTGAGGCAAATATAATCATACAAGCAATCAATAAAAGAATAACATATATATATATATATATATATATATATATATAAATACATCGATATACAGGTGAAACACTTGTCACCAAAGTTTCTTTAATCAGACCAATGCATTGAAGTTTACTGCTTGTGCTTCCATCAATCTATTCTACAATGGCAGCTCTTGTCTTAACTTCTTTAAATTCGACGATGAAAATATTTTGTTGACATTTAGTCTGTGGATCTGTCAATCTCTTCAGGACATAGGTGATCATGGCTCTCCACTTCACCCTATTTCTTGCAGTTCTCAATATGTTTTATCCTTTTGATACTTCACCCAGACCCTGTTCTGTCATCCACATGCTTAATCCTGCCAGATATGTCATGCATTGCTTTCCCTTGTCTCTCTTTCCCTCTATCCACCCTGTGAGTATCAGATTCTCCAAGCCCACCTTTCTCATTACATATCCTAGAAATTTCAGCTGCCTCTTTCTGATGTTAAGTATAAGCTTCCTCCTTATTTGCATCCTCTCCGAAACCACATCGGTGCTCACATGTCTGGTCCATGGTATCCTTAGAATCCTTCTCTAGGCCATACCTCCATTGCCTCGAGTCTCTTCTTCATCTTTGAGGAGACCGTCCTACATTCGTTGCCATAAAGGAGGACAGATGACATGTAGCAGCCAAATACTCTTTTCTTTGTTACCTAATCTTTTTGCCCAGCTATAATTATCACCGGGTCTGTTTTATAAGTTGTTTAAATAAAATAAAAAATATCAGAAAAAGAAATGCTAAAACAAACAAAAAAAAAAACGAGAGTAGGAATGAACGGAGTCAACATCCTTTTTTTTTTTCTTTTTATGTGCCGTGTCCCTTCAGGATGTAGGCGATCATGGCTCTCCACTCCCCCCCCCCATACCTTGTAGCTCTCAATAATTTTCTTCCCTCTGCCACCTCCCTCAGACCACATTCTGTCATCCGCTTGCTTAAGCTCACCAGTTATGTCATTCATTGCTTTCTCTTGTCTCTCTTTCACTCTATTTGACCTGTGAGTATCAGATTCTCCAAGCCCTCCTTCCTCATTACCTGTCCCAGAAATTTCAGCTACCTCTTCTTGATGTTAGCTATAAGCTTCCTCCTTATTTGCATCCTCTCCAAAACCTCATTGGTGCTCACATGTCAGGTCCATGGTATCCTTAGAATCCTTCTCTAGAACCATTCCTCTGTTGCTTCGAGTCTCTTCTTCATCTTTGAGGAGACCGTCCAACATTTCAGTACTCTTTTTCTTTGTTACCAACAAAATCTCCCTTCCCGTAATACTCTGCCTTTCTTTTGGAATATGTTTCTGGCCATTCCAATACATCTTCGGATTTCAATGTCACACTTATCCTCTGTCAGAACACTTCCCAGATATTTAGATTTCTGCAACTGTTTGATTTTAGTGTCTCCAACATGTAAGTCGCATTTCAGGCTCATCCTTTTACTGATGACCATACATTCTAGCTTCTTGTAGTTTATGCTTAGTCCCTACTTTTTATGCTTAGTCCCTACTTTTTATGCTTAGTCCCTTCTTCTTGCTCTCCTTCACTATTTTTGGTAAAAGGTTTTGTAATTTCCTTTCTATATCTGCCATCAGCGTATTTTATGTTGTTAAGATTGTGGCTGCCAATGATGAATCCTGGTAAGATTTCTAGTTCTCTCAGAAATTGCCTCACTGTATAGGTTGAATAAGTCTGGTGAGAAGACACATCCTTGCCGTATGCCCTTTTCTATCTTTGAATATCTGCTGAACACATTTTCTATCAACATGCAGGTGGTTTGCTGATCATTCTCATATCTTTCCCAAATATCTCAAGGTTGATGAGCAGTTCCAACAGATCTGATGGCTTATTGTGCCAAACACCTTTGCATATTCTATAAAACATAGGTGCACAACCTTCTGCCTTATGCATCTTTCTGATAACATTCTGATTATGAATATTGCATTCCTTGTTCCAGTGTCTTCAACGAACCCGCGCTGCTCTTATCCTATCTCTGGGCTGATTCTGCTATGCGCTTCATTCATCAGAATACGGATGATGGGTTTTGTTATGTGGCTCATTAGGCTGATTGTTCAATGGAGTTCACATTCATTTGTGCCTGGTACAACCAACATTCAATCAAAATGTTTTAATCCCATTTACAATCTATATCTCTATCAGTCCATTCTACAAGTACAAATTGTATAATCTGACCCTGCTTTAATCCAACCAACATTCAATCAAAATGTTTTAATCCCATTTACAATCTATATCTCTATCAGTCCATTCTACAAGAACAAATTGTATAATCTGACCCTGCTTTAATCCAACCAACATTCAATCAAAATGTTTTAATCCCTTTTACAATCTATATCTCTATCAGTCCATTCTACAAGTACAAATTGTATAATCTAACCCTGCTTTAATCCAACCAACATTCAATCAAAATGTTTTAATCCCTTTTACAATCTATATCTCTATCGGTCCATTCTACAAGAACAAATTGTATAATCTGACCCTGCTTTAATCCAACCAACATTCAATCAAAATGTTTTAATCCCCATTTACAATCAAATTGTATAATCTCTATCAGTCCATTCTATATCAAGTCCATTCAAATTGTATTTTCTGACCCTGCTTTAATCCAACCAACATTCAATCAAATTTTTTTAATCCCATTTACAATCTGTAAGAACACTATATAAAATACTCTATCTTTATCCATAATTTTGTATTTGCGGAAATTATTCAATGTTTTTAACAAGGAAAATCTCCAATTGATGTTAAAAATTCTTGATTTATTTAAAGTGGAATGATCTAATATGACATGTCTCTAATTTGTGTTTAAATGCTTTGTATTTAGTTTCAGTTTTTCTGATTGAATTCTTCACCTATATTACATATGATCCATTATTGGATATAATAAAATTTGCATTTTATATGAATATTACCTGACGAAAATTGAGATATAGTAGAGTTTAGGAGCATATCATATTTTGGGGATGGTCACAAAAACCTTGCACCAGCCATTCTGAGGTCACCTGATTATTTTTTTTGGAAGGATAACTTAAGGAGGGTAAATGCTTCAATAAACTTGATACAATTCAGCAACTCCACAATAACATCTATACAGAATTTCGAGTGTTGCAGTCCGTGTTATTAAACCCCATTTATATGACACATAATGAGGAAGAAGGACTTAGAAAATCTGATACTCAGAGGACAGATTGAGGAAAAGAGGGACAGGGGGAAAACAACGAATAACATATTTAGTGAGCTTGAGTAAATGGGTGAGAGAACAAGGTTTGGGAGAAATAACAGAAAGACAAAGTTTATTAAGAGAGAAGTTGTGGAAGTTGTGGAGAGCCATGACAACACATAAAGAAGAAGGTTTAAACGATATATAGCAGTCTTTAGAATATCGATCTTTTGTAGAATTCTAACCTTTCCTTTTTTTTCTCTCTGACAAAAATTCAATGAAGGGTCTGTAATTTAATCAATCCTGACCTGGCATCTCGGCTCCAGTCACTTTCTTACCAACATGAATTGGCTTACTTCTGTCTTTTCTATAAATATTTTCATGATAATTGTTCTGATGAGCTTTCCTCCTTGGTACCTTGACTACATGAATTTAAGCATGATACTAGATTGGCCATTAGGTCTCATTGTTTTACTGTTGAACTGTAATAAACTACATCCTGAAACAAGGCTTCTTATTGGGAGATTGGAGGTTCTCAAGGAATGTGGAACCACCTCTTAATTGCTGTTGTTCCCAGGTCCACTCTGACTGCAGGTGGTAGTACCTGTTAGGGTCTCAGTTATGGGCAAATAGTTAACCCCCAACCTGGGGTCAAACACTATGAAGTATAAAAATACATTTTTATAGTGAAAACACTAGCAATAAATTTTTAAAAAAAAATTACCAGCAATACATTTTTGTAAAGAAAATTATTAATGCTCCCAAGAAAATTAAATTTTGGAATTAAATGACCCCTAATGCAACCATATGTTCTATTCTAATACTTACTAGTCTTGCATTTCCCACCTGTGGAACTTCCTTTGGATTTCTTGCTCCATTACCAACTATGATTTTCAAAGATTTAAATGCAACATCAATTGCAATCTTTTGTCTTCCAAAACTCTGTTCTTCTATTGTCCTTTCTACTCACTAAGGTCTTCTTGGGGTGAATTGATTTAAAACAAATATATATATATATATATATATATATAATATATATATAGTGCGATGGATAAATTGTCATCTAAATTACACAAAAATGCTCTGCAATAGAGCAGTTTGTGGGAA